CCTTCCTTCCTTCCTTCCTTCCTTCCTTCCTTCCTTCCTTCCTTCCTCCTTTTAGGCTAAGCACATTTCAAGTGAAGACATACTCAACCAGTGTACCCTGGTAAAACTTCAGTGAGTCTTTCAAAAGCAGAAAGTCAGGCATCAGTGAAAACCTTATAATGTTGATGTATTTCCTTTTTGATATCGGCTTGACTTGCAATACATAGTCTCATGAAATCTAAATGGCCAATTGTCAACTTCTAAACTTAAGCTAACAACATTTAGCCTATGTTTATGATTCTTTCATTTTAGCTAACTATTTTATTTAATGTTTTCTTGGTTTATCGTTTTTGAATCAGTATACCACGCTATCTAAATATTAACACATTCATTTGTCAAATTAAAACTCCAGCTGATGCTATGCTTTCAATCTGATCCGTTCACTGTGTCTTGTGATAAATAAATTGTTATTGTGTTAAAGGTAGCACATGGTAATTGCTCAATAAACTTTCATTTGTATTAGAAGCATTTTGACTTGGTTCACAGAGCAATCTGAGCTAAGTCAAAAAGCAAGTAATATTTCTGTCTTCTGGTTAGCGAGCCTGAGGGATACTGAAAGTGTGGCTGCCTAATACTCACACTTAGAGACAACTGCATTATGGTTTGAATTAAAGCAATTTTACAGGTAATTTCTTAATGGTTATAAAAGAGATAAAATCATTTGGGGTAGAGGAGGTAATAAAATAAGATTAATAATTCCTCATCCTTTAGTCCTGAGAAAAGGCATTGCAGGTTTACTATCTAAAACTACTGAATTGTGTACAGGAAACTGAGAATATTTTTCATTTTAAAAAGGAACAGCTTAAGAGACAGATCAAATGCAACCAACAATGCCAGGTAATGTTTTATTCATTATAATGCTAATTCATATTCAATTACAAAGATAATATAAATGAGTTTCATTCACACTTTTTTCTTTTTATTTATTTATTATGTATACAATATTCTGTCTGTGTGTATGTCTGCAGACCAACAGAGGGCACCAGACCCCATTACAGATGGTTGTGAGCCACCATGTGGTTGCTGGGAATTGAACTCAGGACCTTTGGAAGAGCAGGCAATGCTCTTAACCTCTGAGCCATCTCTCCAGCCCCTCACACTTTTTTCTTAATAAGTCATTTATTCTAGCTTTGACATTAATAATAATTAATCATAATTATTAATTATTAATAACATTAATTAATTAATAATAATTAATCAATTATTGATCTGAATATCAGCATGCAATGTTTGCTCCTTCTAATTTTTTGAACCAGACTTAAAGTTTATTAACTCTGTGATATAAACATGATATTAAGAGGCAGGGGAGAGAAACAGAGAATATCGTTACACTCTGTACAGTGGATGTGAGCTTCTTAAGGTTGAGCTAAATTTAGATATCATATACTTAATTTCTAACTAGGAAAAAGTTTGCATTAGTGGAGCCAATGTCAAATATTACATATTACTCCAATACAAATTTATTTCAGTCAATATACTAAAGGAGAATTATTTTTCTTTCCTAGCAAGCTACCATGGCCCAGGTGAGGTTTTTTTTTCTAAATCTAAACTATTTTAAAATTTCTTAAATACTATGACAATAAAAATTCTGTGTCAATCAATATACTAAAATAGTTATTTTTTTATCTTTAGCAAACTACCCTGTCCCAGGTAAGATTCTTAAATTAGAAATAAATTATTTTAATATTTTTCAAATACTATGTCAATGCAAATTCTATATCAATTGATATACTAAAAAGAAAATTGTTTTTCTTCTATAGCAATCTTCCCTGGCCCAGGTAAGAATCTTAAATTAAAAATAAATTATTTTAATAGTTCTCAACTACTATATCAATGCAAATTCTATACCAATTGATATACTGAAAAGAAAATTATTTTTCTTCTATAGCAAGCTTCTCTGGCCCAGGTAAGAGTCTTAAATTAAAAGTAAATTATTTTAATATTTCTCAAATACTTTGTCAATGCAAATTCTATATCAATTGATGTACTAAAAAGAAAATTATTTTTCTTCTATAGCAATCTTCCCTGGCCCAGGTAAGAATCTTAAATTAAAAAAATTTTAATAAATGAATAAATAAATTTAAAAAAGAAGGAAAATAAATAAATAAATTATTTTAACATTTCTCAAATACTATGTCAATGGAAATTCTATATCATTTAATATACTAAAAAGAAAATTATTTTTCTTCCATAGCAAGTTTCCCTGGCCCAGGTAAGATTCTTTTACTAAATCTAAATTTTTCTAATATTTCTCAAATACTATGTCAATACAAATTCTATCTCAATAAACATGCTAAAAGAAAAATTATTTTTCTTCCACAGCAAACTTCCATGGCCCAGGTAAGTTTTTTTTTAATTAATCTAAATTAATGTTTCTTAAATATTATGCCAATACAAATTCTACATCAATCTACATACTAAAAGATTTATTTTTCTTCCACAGCAAGCTGCCCTGGCTCAGGTAAGATTTTTTTTTTTACTGAATCTAAATTATTTTAATATTTCTTAAATACTATGTCAATGCAAATTTTATATCAGTATACTAAAGGAGATTTTTTTTTCTTCCTTAGCAAGCTGCCCTGGCTCAGGTAAGATTGTTTTTACTGAATCTAAATTATTTTAATATTTCTTAAATACTATGTCAATGCAAATTCTATATCAGTATACTAAAGGAGAATTTTTTTTCTTCCTTAGCAAGCTGCCCTGGCTCAGGTAAGATTCTTTTTTTTAGTGAGTCTAAATTATTTTAATATTTCTCAAGTTATAAGCCAATATAAACTCTATGCTAATCAATGTACTAAAAAAGCTTACTTTTCTTCTTTAGCTAGCTTCCCTGGCCCAGGTAAGACATTTTACTAAATCTAAATTATTTTAACGTTTTTCAAATACTATGCCAATACAAAGTCTATGTCAGTCGATATACTAAAAGGAGACTCGTCTTTCTTCTTTAGCAAGCTTCCGAGGTGCAGGTAAGATTATTTACCAAATTTTAAATTATTTTAATATTTCCATGATGTGTTGTGTGATAGTGATATCCGTATTGTTGTTTCAAGTTGATTCTGTTAAGGACAAATCTACAAAAAATTAAATATCTTATTTCACAAGTACAAATGTCACTACTTCTGTTAGAAATTAACCGATTGTCTTAACTGTGTATGTCAGGTTAAGTAATAAAGCTTACACATTCTAGAAGCATCCAAGTTTTGCATAGCGTTTCCATTATATTTCATAGTACTTTTTGCAATCTCTATGAAAAAGACAAGTGCATAGTAAGTGTTGACTATTCATAAATGAATAAAATCGGTAGACTGAAAGACACAATTTGTTTTTCTTCTTTAGCAATCTGCCTTTGCTCAGGTGAGATAATTTATTAAATTTCAAATATTTTACTATTTATATTGAGTGTTACATTTTAAAACATACACTGTTTTTGTTTTAAAACACAGAAACTCCTCCCAAGACCGAGCCAGTTCTACTACTCAAACATGGTAATATTTTACTTAATATTTACCAAAGAAAAAAATTAATAATGATTACAAATAGGTATGGGAATAAAATAGCGTGTTAAGGAATTGATGGGCTTTTGGACTTGTATTTATTCCAATGAATAAAATTTATTTACTATTTGTTTTTCTAAATTTCACTTAATTTAGTCTTACCTGAAATATTTTTATACACTCAAAATATGAAACTTTGGATTGGATACTGATATAATTTCGACTCATTGTAGTTAGCACAATAGTGTGAAGTCAGATGTCTGATTAATCCAGAATATGTTTTTTCTGTACAGGAGCAGCCTTACAGAATGAGTGCATACAACCAAGTCCAAATGGTAATATTGATCTGTATTTTGAAATTAATATATATTTGTTTTAAAACTTTCATTCAAATTGATTCCTCTTTCTCCTATTCCTAAACGAGTTTGTACTGGTTAACTTATCCACCGTTGTGTGGTGCCTGCTCCCGGTCCACCTTGTACATGTCTCAGCTCCTGTGGCCAGCGCAGCTATAATCACAAGCATTACAAAGGGTTACTTTCTATAGTTACATGTGTTCATGCCAACACCTCTTCTACTGTCACGTACCTATATGTGTCAATTTCGGGTTGTCAGACTAAATGTAGTTTAGGACTCTCCAGTTCGGTTTTAGTCATGTTTTCCTAATCGGGGCATGTTGAAGATTGACTAGATTTACTGACTGACACACTTTAAAGAGACTATCTAGCTAGATTCTAGACTTCAGAGTCCAAGGGGATTGTATCAAAATCCTCCCGCTTTCTATTTTGTTATCTATGAGGGGAATTTTTCGGTCGTACAGACACTGTCTGACCCACTCTGTATACCACTAGTTCCATTGTGTCTCTGGGATTTAAGATAAAAATCAGTTAATATGAAACAGCTGTTGCCTAGCAATTCTGACTCGGGATCGCTAGAGCCATTGCATACCAGGCATGAAGATTTCTAACAGGACTTACTATTTAGTGAATCAGTGATTGTTGGGGATGCCTCTGTATCTTAGAGGGAAAGATGTCAGTGGGTAATTAAATAGCACTTGACAAAATTAGTGTCAGTTCCCAAGTCATTAACAAGAAAGGTTTCAAACAGGTTTCTTCTTCTGTGTTAATAGACCCTAGAAAGTTAATTTCTATTTCCTTTTTTCTTAGCAGAGACAGCCTATGAGTGTAGTGGAACAGGTAAAAAAAAAATCTGTGTGTGTGAGCATGCACACGTACACATGTTCATGTGTCTTTGTGTAACATTTGTGTGTGCATGTAAAATGTTGACATATATATAGTACAGTGTTGATATAGGTGTGTGTGTGTGTGTTGTTTCAATAAGTAGCATTGATTGCGCCAATATTCCTTAGCTGCCGGCTACTCTTGGGCTCTCTAGTGATAGTTCTGACCTCATTGTAGATTTTCGAATAACTTGCTGTAGGAAAATGAGAGACTAATTCTTCAAACACCTCTGAAGGAAAATAATTTCAGTCCAACCTTAAAATTAGAAAAACACTACTTGGTACTCTGCTTCCAAACATGGTTATGCAATAGAGACAATTTAAGTTCTCAATCTGAATGCATATTGTGTCTCACTTTTGAGAATTTTAGAAGTCTGTAAATTTATCATCCCCCCCCATTCCCACATTCATGTTTCTAGTCTTTATTTTGAAAAGAAGTCACTGTGTGTTCAACTTTGAGTTTCTGGGAGCTTGACGGTCCCACTTGTATGCATCACATAGAGAGTTCTATTATTATAAAGAAACTTAAAAATGTGATGGATTTTTCTTTCTATGAATATGATTATGGCTAAATATTGCCTCCCAAGGTTTAGATGTTAAATCAGTTATTGGTTTGGGGATGATTTGTCAGTGTGTCCCAAGTTATCTTCATTGAGGTCTGTAATTCCAATCACTTTCACTGCTCAAAGTAAAAGCAAATTTGAGGCAATTGTTCAATTTTATTTAAAGTGTGATGAAAATATTGGCTTCCACCTTTTCTTTTATACACAGTTTGGAAAATGTACATATAGATATTCTCCTTTTTAAATTTGGTACCATAATTTAGTCTTTATTGGTGCCCAGCTATATGTAACTTATGAAGACTGTTTTTTTTCCTCTCTCTTCACCAAGGAACTGGCCCAGTTCTTCACTCAGGTCAGTTGGTTTGATTATTTAATTTTATTTTATATATCAATAAGAAAAATAGAAATTTTCATACATAATACCTGTGTTAGTTTTTATAAAAGTATTCACAGGAAAATTTGACCTGTTTTTAATTTTATTTTTGGTCCCATAAAATATAAATTCCACTTAGAGAGTTTTGGATGTATTAGATAGAAATTTCTAAATTTCTAACTAAAATTATATAATAGATCAATAGAAGCAGCTGTTTGAATATTTCAGAAAGGAACACAGTTTTTTTTATCCCCAAACTGGTTTCTTGGGAGGGCCTGAGTTAACATTTAGAGAATTATTTTCTATATATGAGACATTCAAGGATCAGCTATATTTACCCTGGATAAAGGACCCTTCTTTGGACATCGGAGTCCTTAAGGAAAGTTAAGTAGGTTTAAATTAGCAAAACTATTTTTTTGTAGTGAAAATATCAATGAGTTTTAGTTAAGTACTAATAGAGACTCATGTTCTTATTTCTTCTGGTCTGGTAATTGGATCTGTATGGATAATATTGGGCCTAAGGATTCAGTTTTGAAAGGTGACCTTAAGAAGTGAGACGAATACCCAGCTCTGTGTGGACTCAACAGCCATTGCTCACACCTGTTTTGGGGTTTTTGGGTTTTTTTTGTCTTTCTCTGCAGGTCGTTCCACAATTCTACCAGCATTATGAGACCTATCCTTTTTGGTCTTTTATTCCACAAGACGTACAGCACATTACTCCTGAATCTGTTCTTAACAGTGCCAAGCCCATTGCCCCCAAGACTGCTGAAGAAACCAAAGTGTGGTGGTAAGTAAATGAAAATTACTAAATGTTGATGCTATGCCAAAGGATACATAATAAGAAAATATTTAGAATAAAAATAACCAGTCAGATGTTTTCTGGTATCTAAGACTCTAAATGACCTCTCGGTAACAAGAAGAGCAGAATTCTCCATTCAGTAAGTGGAACCCACTTTAATGATGGAAGTAGAAAACTGCCGATGCACAGAAAACATTTTTCTTCTGTTTTCACTGATCTCGAAGCACTTTCTCTCTCTCTCTCTCTCTCTCTCTCTCTCTCTCTCTCTCTCTCTCTCTCCATATATGAATATATATGTATGTGTGTATATATATATATATATATATAAAATCAATATGAAAGTGTTATGTATGTAAAAAAAGAAAACACATATCTAAACATGCATTCATCCTAAATTCAACTCCTGGCCTTTTCCTCATTTGAAATGCTATGGTAATACTTTTCCTTATCTTTAAGGTGATCCTTAAAGTAATCTTTGTGAAGCATAGTATGATGAAAACAGGGACTTAATAAGTAACCATCATCTTTTTCTAATTAAAATTTTACTACTTAATAAATTTATCCATTAATGTGAATAAATTTTGTTTTTTCAGAGACATTAATTCAACCCTCAGAAACTCCACAATTACAACACTCGGTGAGTTTATAGTCTGTGTGTCTAATGTTTAGCCTTACTCCATTTGAAATTTGAATTTTCATAATTATGTATTTAAATAGTATTAATACTTAAATGATTTAATGGCAAATAATGTTTTACTAGTAAAACTTGTAATAATGGAAAAGCCTATGCGAGTATGTGTGAATGTTACTACTTCTTTGTGGAATAGTGCCTCTGAGACAAAGATCCTATTCATTATGATGCTAAAGTAGGGATCAGTAGCAAGTCACACAGTAAAACTAAACATGTGTTTTAATCATCTCAGTCACTCTACGTGTGTGTGTGCTTGTGTGTGGGTGTGTGATGTGAGATGAAAGCAATAATCTTCTGACTTATGTGGCAGTCTTTTTTTGTGTTTTCCTGGTGGCATCGGTAATAACACAAAACGTTACACCTTAGTAAAAAATTATCTTTAAATCAATACAAACCAGAAACAATGTGTGTGTTTGTGTGTGTGTGTGTGTGTGTGTGTGTGTATATATATATCAGTAGTAGAGAAATAAAAATGATCCCATGAGCTAGGCTGATGTAAAAAAATGGGTAACAAAGTATATAAAATCTTAACAATTTCCCCTCAAAATGACATAATATAGCTAACCATGCATTTCCACCTCTACTTACAGATGTGACTGGAACCTCCATCATTTTCACTTCTCCTCTTCATTCATCATATGGATTCATCATCCTATCCAAGGCTCAATTGCTATACTAGAATAGGAAAACACCGTAGAAAGGGCAATCATTCTCTTGGGTTGTCTGCTGCATATTAGACAGCATAGCATCCTTTCTTAAGCTTACCTTTCTCAGATAGTCTGTTTAAATTCCAGTTGCATCATGTCAGAGGGAAAACACCGAGTGGAGAGAATTGAAGTCTTTAACTAAGTTTCTATAATGGAAATTTTGTTTTAAAAGACTTTGAATTGATTCTTCTGTAAATACTATTATTTAGTGTAATTGTGTGCAGTAACTGAGATTTTCTTTTTTCTCTTCAATAAATTGCATTTTTAAGGCACAAATCATGTGTTCCTGTCATTATTGAATATTTACATAACAGTGTGGAGTGTTTGTGTAAAATTGTGTTTGAGTAACTTTATGCAATTTTAATAAATATTTTTAGATATCTTTATTTCTAGCTGGAGCTGAAAGTTAAAAGATACTTATAAGCTATCTAGAGTACAATTAATTTAAGGTTGCTTTCTCATAGCATATCTGCCGTCTAATCATAATGCATCAGTAAGGGACACTGGGAGTTTGAAACTAGTTATGCTTACTTTTGCCATCTAAATACGATTGAAACAGAGAAATGAATATATGTGAGAAACTAAAAATTAACCCTACAAGAGCAAACGTGTCGGTTTAGTCCAAGATTATTAATAGAACAGACAGCCATATTTGCTGCAATCTAAACTGCAGTGCCAAACTGGTTTAAATCTGTCCCAGTTGAGTGAAGTAAGGTCTTTTATTTGTAAGATAAAACAAATTGCTTCTCTTTTCTTACTCTTTAAAACAGCTTGAAGATTACGAACTTACAAGATTGCTTTGTGTAAGACAAATACAAGGAACTTTAAATTTTTCACACTTAAAATATCTGCCATCTGCAATAAGTAGCTCTCAGGAGAAAACCTAAGTAAAGTATACTAGATTCAGAGTTCTTGTTTGTTTGTTTTTTATTTTATTTTAAGAAGGGGAAAGTCATGTAAGGCAATGGTTTGTATTCTGTCAATTATATTTTAAATAAATGCTGATTGGCCAGTAGCCAGGCAGGAAGTTTAAGTGGGACAACCAGACAGGAAGTAGAGGTGGGTCAATGTGAACAGGTAGTTCTGGGAAGAAGGAAGTCCTGGTCTGCAGTCCTGACCCAGCCACAGAAGTAAGATGTGACTGCCTCACTGAATAAGGTACTGAGCCATGTGGCTAGCACAGATAAGAGTAACAGTCTAATATAAGTTATAAGTGTTAATAAGAAGCCTGAGCTAATGGACCAATCGGTTTATAACTAATGTAGATCTCTGTGTGATTTCTTTGGGACTTAATGATTGCAGGAACTGGGAAAGATAGAAACTCAGACATTTTTTTATTTGATTTCCTCCAAGAACTTAAATTTCATTACAAGAAGTCATTAAACACATGGAATGGCAAATAAGAGAAGGAGAAAAGAATCTACAGTATTTGTAATGGCTTACATATGAACTGTATAAAGAGCCAAATTCAGATTTGTAACACAACCATTGCTGTAGTGTACATCCTAGGCAACAGAATGGGTCAGTCTTAAATAAAACAGGTAGACTGTTTCAGTGGGTATCGTCATCATGTTCTTGACCTCTTTGTTCATATTCTCAATCCTCCCACTCTTCAACTGAATTTTGGGAGTTCAGCCCAGTGCTTAGATGCAGGTCTATGCCTCTGTTTTCATCAGTTGTTGGATGAAGGTTATATGGGGGATATTTAAAATATTCATCAGCTGAATGATATGTGAGTTGAAGGAAAATAGCCTCCAAAGAGAGTAGAACTATTAACAACAAGGTATGGCCTTGTTGGAGGAAGTGTGTCACTATTGGGGCAGGTTTTGAGGTCTCTTGCTCAATTTTTCCTCAGAGCAACTGTCAGTCAGTTTCCTGTTGCCTGCAAGATGTAGGGCTCTCAGCTCCAACACCATATCTGCCTACATGCTGCCATATTCCCCACCATAATAATAATGTACTGAACCTTTGAACTGTAAGCAAACCTCCTCAATTAAATGATTTCCTTATAAGAGTTGCCACAATCATGGTGTCTTCTTTATAGCAATAAAAACCCTAAGACACATGGTCTTTCTTAGAGTTTCCTAAAATAATTTATTCTATTCAAGCCTTAGATACTTGAATAGACAGAACAAAGAAATTTGGATGAGCAATAAAATATGGAAGGTGTTCACATCTCTATTTCTCAGTGAAAATACAAATTCAAGACAGTATATAATAGTCAGACAGGTGAAAATGAAAAGAATCAAAGTCCAGAAATGCAGTATTAAATCAGAACAAATTATGTACGTTCAAACTTGATTTTATTTTTTTTTATTTTTTTTCAAAGTTTATTAAATTATAAAAGTTTCCATTTCCGTCCCTCCTCCCAGCACCCTACCACTCCCCCCACTCCCTCTCCTCCTCCCTCTACATCCCGAAGAGCAGTCAGGGTTTCCTGCCCTGTGGGAAGTTCAAGTTCCTCCCCCCTCCCTCCAGGTCCAGGAAGGTGAGTATCCAAACAGACTGGATCCCAAAAATCCAGTATATGCAGAGGAAACAAGTCCCAGAGTCATTGTCAATGGCTTTTCAGAAAGACCCCATGCCAGCCACATTCAGAGAATCTGGTTGGATCACGTGCTCGCTCAGTCCCAGTCCAACTGACCTTGGTGAACTCTCATTAGATCAGTCCCCTTGTATCAGTGGGTGATCGCACCCCTCGCAGTCTTGCTTTCCTTTTTCATGTTCTTCCTCCTTCTCATCCTCATTTGTACCTTGGGGGGCTCAGTCCGGTGCTCCAATGTGGGTCTCTGTCTGTATCGCCATCCATCGTCGGATGAAGGTTCCCTTTGGTCTTGTCTTCTTTACTCACGTTCTCTTTCCTTCTGTTTCTCGTTTGGACCTAGGGAGTTAAGTCCAGTGTTCCAATGTGGGTCTCTGTCTCTATCTCCATCCATCGCCAGATGAAGGTTCTATGGTGATAAGCAAAATATTCATCAGTATGGTTATGGGCCAAGGCCGGTTCAGGCACCCTCTCCTCTGTCCAGAGAACAATCTGGGGATCTCTCCTTGGACCTGGGATCCCATATATAATCAAGTCTCCTGTAAACCCTAAAATGACTCCCTTAGTTGAAATCTATTCTTCCCTGATCCCATATTCATCCTTACTCCCTCCCCCCCATCCCGGTCCACCGAGCTTTACCCATTCCTCCCCTACTCCCTTCTCTCTAACCCTCTCCCCTTCCAACAACCCTCCCACCCCCACCCCCATGCACCCGAGGTTACCTGGGACTCTTGTCTATTTCCTTCCTCCTGGTGGATAGCTAAATAATCTTCATCAGGTTCATCTTCTTATTTAGCTTCTCTAGGATCACGAATAATAGGCTCAAAGACCTTTAATTATGGTTAGAATCCACTTATGAGTGAATACATACCGTGTTCCTCTTTTTGGGTCTGGCTTACCTCACTCAGTAAAGCGTTTTCTTTTTCCATCCATTTGCATGCAAAATTCAAAACACTCATCCATTGTTGGTGGGAATGCAAACTTGAGCAGCCACTGTGGAAATCAGTGTGGCGGTTTCTCAGGAAACTGGGAGTCAACCTCCCTCAAGACCCAGCAATTCCACTCTTGGGAATATACTCAAGAGATGCCCTATCATACCACAAAAGCATTTGTTCAACTATGTTCATAGCAGCACTATGTAATAGCCAGAACCCGGAAACAACCTAGGTGCCCCTCAAGAGAAGAATGGTTAAAGAAAGTGTGGAACATATATACATTAGAGTTTTACTCAGCGGTAAAAAACAATGACATCTTGAATTTTGCATGCAAATGGATGGAAACAGAAAACGCCTTACTGAGTGAGGTAAGCCAGACCCAAAAAGAGGAATATGGTATGTATTCACTCATAAGTGGATTCTATCCATAACTAAAGGTCTTTGAGCCTATTACCCATGATCCTAGAGAAGCTAAATAAGAAGGTGAACCTGAAGAAAATCATGTAGTTATCCTCCTGGAGATTGGAAATAGACAAGAGTCCCAGGTAACCTCGGGTGCATGGGGGGGGGGGAGGGTGGTTGGAAGGGGAGAGGGTCAAACTTGATTTTAAATATGATCTTCAGCTGTACTGTAAATAGAGTACTGCATTGTAATTTCCATGTTTATTATTTTCTGTAATATTTAAGAATTACCTAAGCATATACAAAATATGCAGTTACTAAAACAACTAATTATTTCTTTGTCCCCCTATAAAAGGAAGGGGCTTTGCTGTTCTCTCATGGCTAGAACCATAATAAAACACTGCACCTGCAATTTGCAACATAAGTATTACAATGTTCTTTGTAATAATCTTGAAGCCTTGTTTTTCAAAGTCCATTTAATTTTGATCAGTATATTGCACTAATTTTTTTAGGTATTTTCATTATATGAAATCTACCATGTGTCACATGATTTAATCTATTTAAGTGTTGATCTGCTAGCAGAACTTGTACATTTTACAGTAACTCAAAATTAGTAAGGAAAACAGTTCACCAGTGTTTAGTTTTATATTGAGGTGCTCATGTTGGAATAAAGTGGTATAAAAAAGCAACACTGAGGTTTTTTTTTTTTCTCTTTACATAAAGAAGTGAGCATAACACACATGGTATGTAGCTGGAAGCTTTTGTATTTTCTTCCCATTCTTAAGGATGGATCTCACAGTCATGATCTGTCCTAGAGTCTAGAGCACTGTAGTCTTTGTGGTACTGTTTGCTGCTCTGGGTCTTTGGAATGTTGTTATGATAGCAGCTGATACTCACTCCCATTGAGAAACATTACCATAACAGTGATGCTGTCTCTGGAACCACCTTCTAAAGCAGCACTTACAAGTTCACAGCCAACGTACTCAGCTGCATCTTCATAGAAATTCTTAGCATCTAGTTCTTTCTTGCTTCCTTTCTTACTGTCTCTATTGGGTAAACTGTTAGCTTCTTTATTGCTGCAAGGGTCAGAATTACTCTCTTCTGGAGAAAATGTTTCTGCATTTTTAGCCTGATGAATGCAAGCTTCAGAATGTATTGAATCAGACGACCTTTTCATTAGATTAGTAGTTGACATACCTATTTCATATTCAGGTTTGTACTGGAACAGCACTCGGATGTTACTCTCTGATGGGGAAAGAGGCTAGTTAGATGGCAGGAATTGCTTTTAGGGCCAGAAACATATATTTCTTTATATGCACGAAACAAGGTTATTACCAGTGCAGTGGCTTCCTGCTTGTCTAGAACTTCCCAAAGCCCATTAGTGGCTACAGTGAGAAACTGACATAGATCATCTAGAGGGACAGAAATTGTTTGCGGTGCTGGAATAATGAACTTCTTCGATGTGAGGTTTCGATGGAATCCAAGACCTCTGGAGGTTTTCATGTGTCCTTCCAGGAGGCCGTTTGAACTGATGACTGCTCCTCTCTGAAGGACTCTGCTTCTCTCCTTGGTGTTTCCTGTGGAGTGTTCTTTTGTCAGGCAAAACCCTTTTCCATTTCTGCATAAGACTGCTTGCACATGACCTAAAAGGGTGGGTTTTTTTTTTTAAAGAGAGAGTTCTGATTATCAGTTTGTGTAAAAGTATGCTACTTATTCTATTTCAATACTAAACACAAAGTATGCCATGTAAATATTTTTAGAATACATAAGCTGAACACTACACAAATATGATTTTGAACTGGAAAACCACCTAATATTTGAATATCAGTGATAACCCAGTAGCATTTAAAATAAGTTAACTAAAACTACAGGTCTTGAAAATTAACTTCTAAATCAAATTTTATGAACTATTAAAATATAATTTTTACTATGTCTTAACACCTATGCAGATTTTTGAAATATTCAAATAAAGTTTTTTAATGACTAACAAAACAAAACAACAACAAAAACCAAAATATAATGGACTTCACAAGATTTTATTTTTGTTTTTCCAAGTTTGGTGTTTGTTTCATTCTTTTGGGGATGGTTTTTATTTTGTTTTTTTGTTTTGGGGGTTGTTATACTGGGTTTTTGTTCTTTTCTAATTTTTTTTTTATTAAATTATAAAAGTTTCCATTTCAGCCCCGCCTCCCAACACCCTCCCACTCCCCCCACTCCCTCTCCTCCTCCCTCTCCATCCCCTAGAGCAGTCAGGGTTTCCTGCCCTGTGGGAAGTTCAAGTTCCTCCCCCCTCCCTCCAGGTCCAGGAAAGGTGAGAGTCCAAACAGACTGGAGCGCCAAAACAAACTGTCTTTTTTCATTATTTATACCAATTAAAGTCCCCACTCCGTCCCCTCCTCATTCTCTCAACTTATCCCACTCCATCCTGCTATAGGAACACTGACAGCCAGTGGTTACCCGTCCACTGGTACATGTCCTCTTATACTATAGAAGCTGATGTAGAGCATGCATCCAACCTCTTCTTTCTGGCTGTGGGATTGGTTTCTGATCTCTGTTCAAGCAAAGGATTCTGCTTTGCGAGTCTACCCCTAAATAAATTGTAGGGCCCTGTCTTCCCTGTTCCTCGAGGCCAAAGCACAGGATGCAAGAATTGTTTACACTAACCAGCTTGGCTTCCCCTGCTCATTCTGCCAGCCAGAAAGAATTAGTTCAAAGCCTTGTCTCTGTCTTTGCTATGATAATTTCACCTGCGATCTGGTATGGGAAGCGCGCCCTGTACCGGGGAGTGAGGTTTCTCAGATAAGCGCTGGCCAACCATCTGCTTCTCAATTCTGAGGCAGTGTAGGATTTCTTTGAAACACCCTTCTTTACTACCCTACCCCCATCCACTTCACATATAGGGTAAGGCACGTTATTTTGGGAAAGGTTCAAGGCTCTCCCTACTATATCTATGCTGAACAAGGTATCCATCCAAAGAGAATAGGTTCCCTAAAAGCCAGTACAAGCAGTAGCAATAAGTTCTGGTGCCACTGCCAGTAGCCCCTCAGTCTGCCCCAACCATACAACTGTCAACCACATTCAGAGGGACTAGTTTGGACCTATGCTTCTTCCTTCCCTGTCAGACTGGAGTTGGTGAGCTTCATTAGCACAGACAGACTGTTTAGTGGATATTCCCATCATGGTCTTTAACTCTTAGATCATATTCTCAATCCTTTCATTCTTCAACTGGATTTTGGGAGCTCAGCCCAGTGCTCTGGTGTGGGTCTCTGCCTCTGTTTCCATCAGTTGCTGAATGAAGGTTCTATGATGATATATGTAAGATATTCTTCAGTTTGACTACAGAGCATGGCCAGTTCAGGCACCCTCTCCTCTATTGTTTAGCATCTTATCTGGGGTCATTCTTGTGGATTTCTGGGAATTTCTCCAGAGCCAGGTTTCTTTCTAGCCCCATAATGGCTCCCTCCATCAAGGTATCTCTTTTCTTACTCTCTGTCCTTCCTCCATCTTGACTATTCAGTTCCCTCAAGTTTTCACCATTTCTCCCCATCTCCCCTCCTCTTCTTCTTCCACCCTCCATTTTCCCCCACCCTCCATGGATTTAAAATTTGGTAGGTAGAGAGTAGGAGAGGATCTGGAAGGAACTGGCAGAAGGGAAGAATATGGCCAGAATATATTAAATTTAAACATTGTTTTTAAATGTAACACATTTTCTTTTTTAAATTTTCTTATTATTTATGCTTTGTGACTTCATATCATGATTCTCAAACTCATTCATTTCCCATTCCTGAGTATCAGCCCTCTGCCTACACCCCACCCCATTAAGGGAGCCATTTTAGGGTTTGCAAGAGACTTGACTCTAGAGGGGTTCCCAGATCCAAGAAGAGGTCCCCAGATTGTTCCTTGGGCAGCAGAGAAAAGGGTGCCTGGACTGGCCTTGTCCCATAGCCACACTGATGAATATCTTGCATATCACCATAGAACCTTCATCTGGCAATGGATGGAGATAGAGGCAGAGACCCACATTAGAGCACTGGACTTAGCTCCCAAGGTCCAAATGAGGAGCAGAAGGAGGAAAAACATGAGCAAGGAAGTCAGGACCACTAGGATTGTGTCCACCCACTGAGACGGTGGGACTGATCTAATGGGAGCTCACCAAGGCCAGCTGGACTGGGAATGATGGAGCATGTGATCAAACTGGACACTCTGAATGGGGCTGGTAATGAAGGCTGAGTGAGAAGCCAAGGACAATGGCACTGGGTTTTGATTCTGCTGCATGGACTGACTTTGTGGGAGCCTGGTTTGTTTGGATGCTCACCTTTATAGACCTGGATGGAGGGGGGAGGACCTTGGACTTCACAGGGGGCAGGGAACCCTGACTGCTCTTAGGACTAGAGAGGGAGGGGAGGTGGGGAGGGGGAGGGAAAAGGGAGGTGGGGAGGAGGTGGAAATTTTTAATAAATAAATAAAAAGAAAGCATAAAAAATCTTGTCATAGAAGCTGTCATATGACATAGTGAGTTACACAGTAAATTATTTTGTTCATATATCTATACTTGCAAATGTTCCTGGCAAAAAGTCATTACTTTGGTTCAAGGCCTCTGGTTACTGCTACACTATCAATGCTGGGCCCTCACTGAAGCTCCCCTTGGTTATCCTGCTTTTGCTCTGTGTTGTGAAAATTTTGAAACTTTGGATCTGCAGGACTGGTCCCTTCATGTGCTCCAGAAGATCACAGATTAGGCGGATATTGGGGTGGGCTGATCCCTAACCCTGGTTGTGTGCCTGATAAGTTGCAGGGTTGGTCTGTCCACCAGCCCTCCTCTGCCCTCACCACCATGGTGAGCTCTCCTACAATGCCTTGGAGAGTTCAGGCTTTGCAGCAAAGAGCAAGGCATGAGCAAGTACCCCTACATTCATGTCCTCAGGGTTGGATCTCCCACACCTACTTCTTCAGGACCAGCTTGAATGTGCTATCCAAACAAACCACATTTTCTTTATAGATTCTTCAGTTAAGGAGCAGCTAGGTTGTTTCAAGTTTCTGGATATTACAAATAAAGTCACAGTGAACATAACTGAGCAAGTGTCTTTGTGTTAGAATAGAGTGTTCTTCGGGTCTAAGCCTTAGAGTGACATATCTAGGTCTTGAGGTATATTGATTCCCAATTTTCTGAGGAACCACCATACTGTTTTCCATAGTGACTGTACAAGTTTTCAATCCCATCAGCAGTGGGCAATTGCATGTAGAAAAAAGAGTCTAAATTGGAGGTCTCTCTTGGGTCCTTTCAGTCAGAGGTTGGGGAATCTAACAGAATAGGGGAAATAAAGATTGTAGGAGTCAGAGGGGATGAATAACACCAGATGAACACGGCCCACTAAATCAGCTAAACATGGTTCTCATGGTCTCAAAGACTGAAGAATCTACCATGGAAACTTACAGGATCTATACCAGGTTCTTCATATGTTATAGCTGTTAGCTTGCTGTTTTGTGCGGAACTCCTAAAAGAGTATGTGAGGTGTATCTCCGACTCTTTCGTCTACTCTTGGGACTCTTTTCTTTTGTTGGGTGGCCTTTGCCTAGACTCAATTTGAAATCTTTTACTTTGTCTTATTGTATCTTATTTTGTCATTTTTGGCAGTCTTTTGGAGATCTGTTATTCTCTGAAGAAGAAACAGGGGAGGAGTGATTCTGAGGAAGAGGGCAAGTAGGGTGCAGGGAGGAATGGTTAGAAGGAAAACTGTGGTCAGGATATGTTGTGTTAGAGAAGAATCTATTTTCAATAAAAACTTTTTTAAAAGTTTTAAATAATAAAAATATGATAAGAAGCAAAAATGAACAATTATAATCCAATGTTGCCTTTAATGAAGATGATCTATGTTCACATGAAATTTATTCTTACAGTAAATTTCTTTAATGCTCAATAAAACCCTTGAAAATTTTTCACTGTTCACATGTAGATTAGATCCATATGTGTCTCTCTTAGACTCATCTTTGCTGACTAGTTATTTAAAGATCTATGATTTACTCTATTAGCATTTACATTTATTACATGTATCTTATCTTGTATCTTCTATTTTACCTTTGTTATTCTATAGATTGTTATATTTTTGCTATTATATTCTTTGTTGATTT